TACATGCATGGAAACACAGAGAACTGAACAAACATTCCTGATGGAGAGGCCGTGTGCTGAGAGCACCGTGCTGACAGCACTGGGACCTAAACCCACGCCATGCAATCTATAGAGCTTGCTGCCTGAAAGGCTCTCTGTAGATCAGAGAAAACATCCTGTTCCATTAAGAGAAGCCTTGAGCTGACTTCTGTACAGCATGGATGCCTGGAATGAACCTGTTCCTTTTCTACACTCTTCCTCTGACAAACAAAACCAGCTGCTACTCAAAATAAAGCGTGATTTCACGTACGTGGTATGAAGTCTATGCAAATAGTCAAGTGATGCAAAGAAAACTCTCCAGAATGCTGTGAAAGGTCTTTGGCATGCTAACAGGCACCTCGTGCCTCGCCCTCTGCACAAACAGCAGAGTGTGGGTGATTCAGGTCTGGCATGGAGGAACTGCATCCACACAGATAAGGCACTGCTGACATAATGACCTGGGTTTGGCTGCAGGGCTGCTGGACCCTCCCCTCACACTGAGCTGTATGTATGCGAGCTGACAAACTAATTATGGAAGAGATTGGGTAATCCTCTGGCTTGGAGAAATAAGGAGGTCTCAGTATGGCTGTGAACTGAGAAGGAACCCAATTTATTATCTCGATTTTAGAGAAAAGAGGTAGAGATCTCCATGGCTTGCTTAGCATTAACCCTACAAACGAGGAGGCAGCTCTGGCTCTGCAATGCAGTTCCCAGCACTTTCCCCAAGGCACTGATTAAAAATAATCCACAAGAGCACTGCAGTCCTGGCCAACCTGATTTTGCTAACCCTCCTATTGCATTGCTCTGTTACAAAAACCCATCTGCTGCTCACACTCAGAGGAGTGAAATCTCAATTTGAGCAAACTGAAAGGAACTTCATTCTGTTCCATCCGGCGCAGAGTGAAACCTGATGGTGGTTGTAAGACTGAAGGCGCAGCTTCATTTACAACCCAGGCAGACATTTAATTTGTATGATGAAGAGCTGCAATTTTCCTTAAAGCAAGCTCAGAATGCAGTGTTCCTCTTATGAAAGATTTTCCCTGCTGGGACAGGGCTGAGCTGAGCTTGGTGCAGGGCTGGCTGGCCCATGGGCACGTGGCATCGCGTGCAAGGCAGTCAGCAGAGTTCTGCTGAGATCAGATGCTGCCCTCATTGCTGCCTGGCCCCTCACTCCTGCTTCCTCTGTGACAGAGCAAACAATGCTGGGAGGTCAGACGTGGTCGGAGCGATGGCTGCTGTATTCCTTTGCTGTAAGTGCAGCTTCTGGAGGGCTCTGTTGGCTGTGTCTGAGCACAACTGTTGCACTGTTGTGTATTTGAACAGGTTGCTGTTGAAAAACTAGGGTGGGAATAGGGCATTCCTCTGCAGGTGCCACAAGGGAACAGTGTGAGTTCTGACCCTGCACCACACAGGGAGGTGCTCCTTCCTTCTGCCTTCTCCCCACTATTTCTTCTTCTTGTCCAGAACCAAGGAATCACACACAAACTCATGCTCTATCAGCTCTATCAGGAGAATTTTGCTTTTCCCCTTTCTCTCAAAGTCATATGAGGGAATTAAGCACTTATTAAAGGCATGGAAAAGTAACTGCTTCGCAAACTGAAGTTACTGTGCCATTATCCCAGCAAGCCACAGCTATAGCTGGGGAAATACAGACTTAGGCTGATTTCCTCCTAATATTGCCCATGTAGGCAATTGCTTCCATGAAATGGACAGGATGTTACTTAAACAGAGAAGCCCTAATGTCTGTTTAATGACTTGTACATCTAAATGGAAGAGTATAAACCTCTTTGGTCACTCCTCTTGATGCTTGAGTACATCAGGGAGGTATTTTACTATTTTAAAAGCATAAAATTCTATTGCTGAAGATGTGATTTTGTATTTTTATATATTATGTGGCTGGAAAAGTTGAAAGTGAAGATTTGTCCTCAAAGGGCTGTGGGACAGAGCCCTTCTTGATATGGTTATCCATTAGTACCAAAGGAAAAGTGAATGAAACAGAGAGGAAAGCAGATGTAAACTACTCAAAGATTGTGCTACAGCTGTGAAGGCTGTAAAAAATGCACTGGTGGAACAACAGTGAATAGAGCAAAAACCTGGCATTCAAGAGCTGAGGCAGAGACTACACTAAACAAGGGTGCATGCATCAGTCATGTTTATTGGTGCATCGACAATTTTTGCAGTTCAAGTGACGTGTTTAAGGAAATATATCATTCCAAATGGTCTGCACTGATGGTACATGAAGTGGAACGCTGTATTACAGTGGTAATTAAGACTTGAGAATCACTTGCTAACACCATTTGCTCTGCTGCTGACATAGCGAAGTCCTCGCTCGGTATCTGCTGAGCACGTAAATTCAGACCAACTTTTAAAGTGCTGTTAAATCCATGAGATGTGCATCTCTTCCTACAATGCAGTGCTTGTAAAAGGCCACGTGATGCAGGTGTCAGGCTCTTCTTATTTAAGGAAGGATTTTAGTGCTGGTGAAGTGGCCAGCAGGCACTGGAAAACTGAAGTTCTTCACTTAACTGACATCTAATACAGGCAAGGAAGCCAAGATGAACAATGCAGCTTCTACCAAGCCCACCTCTGAAGTAAGAATTTCATTTTCCAGGGCCTGAGTAACTGCTGACCTCTGTGCTGAAGCGTTCAGTGAGGAAATTGGTGTTTAATTTCAACCTGGATGGGAGTAAGTGGCATTGGTAAGGACATACACCCATAGCTTACAGGCTGCCTGCCTCCACCTGAGCCCACAACACGTCTATTCTAAAATATCTGTAACAACAGCTCAGTGCAAACGTATCAGCGACGCTCAGAAATTCACCCCACTGCTGCCAGGATCCCATTTTTGTGGTACTGCCACAGCTGCATCATTAAGGGCAGATAAACACTGTTAAAAAGATGTTAGAAAAACATCCTGATGTTCCATTCTTTTACAACTCCCCATTCTAACGCAGCTCAGGAGCTCCTCCAGCTCTGTCCACATCCCCACTTATTTGCTCTTTGAAACAGTTTGTCAGCACAGGATAACATCAACGTTTACAAACACAAATTACAGCTGTCCCGTTGATATTTTGTAAACCAAAGGGATTTTATTTTCTAGGCAACTCCATAAAACACCCAAGTGGTGACTCTGAGGCATCTCCCTCGCACGGAACTCCTGCTCTGTCAGTGGATTTGCTATGCAGACACGATAAAGCAAAGCTAAACACTCCAGGTTCAATACAACTAATTTTAAATTTAAAAATACTGCAACTGAGAAGTAATTCCCCAAAAGTATTTGGACAGGCTTTCGGAAATCCACCCAAGATACAAAGCTAAAAAAATTCCAAGTGTTGCTCCCAAAAGTCCACGCCGTTGCAAACGTGGCAGACAATAAATAATGTATCTTCCTCTTCGACAGCACTTTTGTTTCAAAGACACCCAAAGTACACCTCTCTGAGGTAGGTATTGTCCATGTCACAGATGGCAAACGGTGAGGAACAGCTCCTCGTCCCAGGCACCTCACCTCTTCAGTGCGAAAGCTGAGAACATGATTTAGGGTTGATATTCTCTTGGTCTCATTCCTAGACAGCATTTTGTCTCAAGTCGTATCAGTGTCATCTTCAAGTTCCCTCTTTAGGTTCGTAAGCTTCTCGAGGGCTGTTGGTAATGATTTGTTTTTTCTCATGATGGATGAAAAGCAAAGTGTGGTTTAACACTGGAAGCAAAGTGGTTTTCTATTGGAAACTCCCAAGAGTGTGAACACGTATTTTAATACTGAGATAAAATGAAAACTGGTCCATAGTGCTTTTGGCAATTCTATTCTTTATCCTTAATTATTCTTGCCTCCATTTAGCAAAGCACTCGCACAATTTCGCTCCGTTTCCTGCGAGATCCCCTCTGCATTTCAAAGTCCAATTCAGCTGAGAACCTCAATTTGCTGCTTACAGAAAACGGGATTTTCTCAGCAGGAGTTCAGCTCCGTGCCTCAATGAGCGGAGGCCTTTAAAACTAAGATTGATTCCATTTGGAAAGCAGGTTTGTTTCTGCCTCAAACTGAAGATGCACGTTCCTGCTCTCCATTTGTAGAAGAGCAGGAGAGGTAATTGGAAACAGAGTGATAGAAGGCTAAGAACGTTGTAAAATTCCTTAAAACAAATGTGTATTACAGGCATTACAAAGGAAAAAATAAATCCCCTTCAGTACTACGCACCTCTACAGCACCTTTTAAAAGTCCTCAAAGCACTTACTGTTAAGCTCACAGCTTTGCTGCGAGGTAAGATTGATGAAATCAAATCCACCTTCCCTGATTCTGAGCAGTGTGAGAAGCAGGGCGTTTCACCCAGCTTGTTTTGTTCTGACAGTTCAACTGCATCCTTCATTATCCGAATTAAAGTCTTGCTCCTCGACAGTCATCGCTGACAAATCAAACACATTAAGGCAGAATGCAGATGAAGAAACCTCAGGCCTCCCTTCCGGATTTACTACTCCGTCCTTCTAAAAAGGGTAAGACTTCTTACCAGCAAAAACAACTGAGAACTAGACCTTAAAGTGCTCATTTACAGTATTTGGAATCTGCTACAGCTTAGTAACACTGTGGCCGTGAGATCAGCTACAGCCAAATGAAGACCATTCCAATGTATCAGACAGATGCAAATTAAGATACTTCCTTAATTACTGTATTTTCCTCCTGCCAGAAGTTGAGATATTAAGAAGAACCCAAGTATTCCCAGTAACATGCCTATGTTCCGATGCAGTGTAAACACCAAGGGGCTGATAGTTATTTTCCAAGCAACTAAAAACTACCTATGGAGGATTAATAAGTTTAATTCAACACTTAACCACCTACTCGTTACTTTTAAGAAGGCTATCTTAAAGCTTAAAGGCCACCTCTTCCTCTAAAGCCGTGACTTCACAAACGATACATTCTACTTCTGATAGTAACATAGTGTAGGGCAGCTTTAGGGATGCTCTTTCCACCAAAAGCTGTGCACCCTATGAGCACAGAGTCTATTTTTTAGTATAAATAGTGCTGATACACACATTTCCTAAACCCTTAATTTAATTACCCTGAAAACATAATACTAATAGATTAATTCGGTAATTTAGAGGCTCGCTTTTTACACTAGTATTGAACAAGCCTGGTTCTGTATGGCCACTCAGAGCACACACACAAAGAGAAGATCATTTCGGAAATCAGGTTTTAGCTGCCAGTGTATTTCACCTGCTAAATGACTCTAAATTAGCATGCGAGAAGACAACCTATTTCAGATCAGTTGGAAAAGTCACTAACCCCACAAACCTGTGCATCTTGGCCATCGTTTATACGCTTTTCAAGCTCTGTGAACGGAATTTTGTGATTACATACAGCTTATCTGGAAATCCAGAATTTGATTCCGGATGAGTGAGGTAGTAGATGTAACCATCCTCATGCAGGTTGTCACACCTCCCCAAAGTTGGTGTGTCCCGTCTCCTTGGCGTGTTCTCTGGCTTCCACTTGTCCCGTCAGTCCCTTCTGGCACACCATGCACCTCAGCATGAAGCGATTCACGTCAGTGAACTGCCTCTTCCGTCTGGCTTCATCTGCTAGCTCCAAGGCTTGTGCGAGAACAACATCATCAGAAGTAGAGAAAATGGTCTGGGGAGGAACGTCCGAGTCGGGGATTTTACGCTCGAGCGGATCGTAATGAATCCCATCGTAGATCAACAGGACCCGCTTGGTGTACCCGGCATCCTCCCCGAAACGATCGATTCTGACTGTCTGCGTGTCCACCACACAGATTTCACACTGATAAAACTTGGATAAAATGGAAACCTCGATGGCTCCCCCCCAGGTTTCATCCCTCCGGATCCAGTCGCAGTATTCCCTGTTGGTTTTCCCCAGCACTGCTTCACAATACGCCTCGGGGTCGCTGGCTACGATCTGTGCGATGAGGCTGCGCATCTCCGGGGCACAGCCGGGGTCGTACACACCTCCCTCCACCACGTAGTACACACTGGTGAACAGACACGAGTTATCAGCTGGTACCACCCTCCTGGCCAGCACCGGGACCGCTTCCCTCACCGCCATCATCCTCTTGGCCACGACTGGAGAGCCGGCGCTGGGCTTGGACGTGTCCTCCTCCACGATGAGCGTGTCTCCTGTCAGACAGAGGGGAGCGCTGAGCACACAGATGGGCATAGAACCGAATCGCTAAGGTCTGAAAGGAACCGACAGCTCACGCCCAACCACCGACCCATCCCCGCCGGACCCACGAGCGCCGCATCCCTGCGGTTCTCGAGCACCTCCAAGGCGGGGACCCCGCAGCCTCACCCGGCGCTCCGCTCCAACCCCCCCCGGCCCGCCGCGCTGGGTCACAGCCTCGTTTAATTAAGCTAATTGCAGCCCGCGGGGCAGCGGAGATCATAAAGCGCAGGCGCTGTCGCCCTGCAGGCCTCACCCGAGTGGATGCCCAGCTCGCCCAGCCGCCGCTCGCCGTCGCTGAGGTCGAGGCTCCGCGGAGGGAAGCCGAGCAGCAGCCGCTGGGCAGGGGCGGGGACGCCGGTGAGGGCGGCCAGGGCGGCCTGCATGTCGCGGAGACGGGAGTGCGCCGTGAGACCGGGCAGCGGCTGGGTGCCGCTCCGGGCCTTGCAGCGCAGCCGCAACATCCTTCGCGCGGCCGCCGCCCCCTCCTTCCTCTTCCTCCCTCCTCCTCTTCCTCCTCCCCCCGCCCGCCCGTCTCTGCTTCCGCCCCGGCCCAGCGCCCGCTGGTTCTCGCGAGATCTTTTTCCGCGCTGTTTCACTGTGCGCTGGGCCGCTCTGCCAATCGCGGCGCGCGCCGCGGCCGGTGTCGATCTCATTTGCATGCAGGGCGCGCTTGGGGTTGTGGCGTAGCGCCGTTCTCCCGCCCGCTTGCCGGGGAGCGATTTACATCTCATTTGCATGCAGCGCGGCGGCGCGGAGCCATGGCGGCAGCGTACCGGCACGGCGGCAGCGCGCCGCGGAGCAGAACCGGGGCCCAGCGCGGCGGGGAGAAGAAGTGCTGTGAGTACCGGGGCGGAACCGCGCACGGAGCGCTTTTCGCGGAGGAAAGAAAAAAAAAAAAAAAAAAAAAAAAAGCGGTTGTCGGATTCGCTTAACGAAACGCGCGGTTCCCACGGCACGCGTGGATTTGAGTGCGCGCGGCGAAGCCCCGCTGTGCCGGTGCCCTTCGTGCTGCTGACAGCCTCAGCTCAGCCTCGCTGCAGCCCTGCTGCCTCCTGACCTCCTGTTTTCCTTGACCACCTGCTTAAACCTATGTTTTCTTCCATCCTCAAGCCATTTTTCTTCTGCCCTTGGCAGCCCGCGTCTCCTGGGTAAATATTTGTCCACGCCGAGAACCGCGTTAGCCCCATTAGCTGCAGCAGGTGCAGCGCTGCTAATCACTTTCATTAGCTAACACCGCTTGCAGCACTCATTAGGAGTCGCAGCCAGCTGCAGGACGGCCGGCTCTGTCTGTCCGCTGGGCTCCACGCTAACGTTTTCCTGCAGCGTGGGCATCCTACATGACCAACTCGCCCACCCTCATCGTGATGATCGGGCTGCCAGCGCGCGGCAAGACCTACGTGTCCAAGAAGCTGACACGTTACCTCAACTGGATCGGGGTGCCCACCCGAGGTGTGTGCCCCCACGGCCCCCTGCCCACAGGTGGGAGGGTGTCGGTGGGCACCCATGTCAGCACGGTGTTATTTTGTGTCCCAAGTGTTCAATTTAGGGGTGTATCGCCGGGAAGCTGTCAAATCCTACAAATCCTATGACTTCTTCAGGCACGATAACAAGGAAGCGATGGAGATCCGCAAGTGAGTTGGCGTCACGGGGCTGCGCAGATGGCCTGCGGTCTGCTTAGGCTTGGGGTTGGCAGCCCGTGTGTTTCTGTAGCACAAAATAACATTGAATGGCACGGAAGGAGGTGGTGCGGTGCGCAGATCCATTGGCAGGATCCCTGGATGCGTGGGAATGTCGTTGGCATCAGGAGAAATGGATGGAAAGGAGGGGCTTGGAGCACCCAGGGGAGCAGGGAGTGTAGGGGGTACCTTGGGTGCTGTTCCCAGGTGTGGATTTTTGCCCTCAGACATGTCTTTTTGAGGGCAGTGGGGCTGGGGGTCTGCATGGAGCCTCAACTGGTAGAGGCAGCAACTGGGGCATCCCAAGGGCAGGGATGGGAGCATGGGAAAATGGGGATTTAAACAGAGTTGAGCTCTGTAGAGCCCCCAGGAGTTGGGGCACCCAGCCTCGCTTCTTTCCATCTGAGGAGAGAACAGCCAGCTGAATTTTTCCCAATCTCAGAGACTCAGAGGAACTCCAATCTGAATGCCTTGCACCTGCTCTGACACTGCATTTCTCTCCTGCAGACGATGTGCCTTGGTGGCCCTACAGGACGTGAAGGCGTACCTCCTGGAGGAGTGTGGGCAGATAGCTGTAAGGCTCTTCCCAGCCAAACACATCATGGAGGCTTCGTATCTGGGTTGTTCAAAGCTGCCCAGGGCATTCGGGAACCCAAATGTAACCCCTAATCATTTGGGGCTGTTTTAGAAGCTGCAGATAAACTTTCTCATTGCCACTTATTTTCTGATAGGTGTTCGATGCAACCAACACAACTCGGGAAAGACGGGACCTGATCTTAAATTTTGCGAAGGAAAATGCTTTCAAGGTAGCGCTGCTGTATTTAATTTGTGATTGTGATCACAGTGCTGGAGCTGTTTTTGACTTGTGATTTAAACCAGAGCTCTTGGTCCTCTAAAACATGTTTCACTGCCTCCTTCACAGGTGTTCTTTGTGGAATCCGTGTGCGACGATCCGGAGGTCATTGCTGCCAACATCCTGGTACGTTGCCAGGCTCTGTGCCACGGAGCTGCATGCTGTGCAAGGTCACCAGCTCTGCTCACAGCACTGCTGCTGGGTTGTTGGCATTAGAGATGATGTGCACAGTGCGGGGTGGTCGGGATCCCGCTCAGATGGCTGCTGATGGTTGCAGACATTCCCTCTGCTGCAGGTGCCAGCTGGGGGCTGAAGCTCCGTGTGTCACCTTGCTGCTCCTGCAAGGAGGGCTGGGGGCTGAACGAGGCTTCCCCGTAGCGCTCTTACATCTCAGCTTGTAAATACTATTGGAGATTTATGGGTTGTAAAATCTGAAGGTGCAGTTGTTGAAGTTGGATGTGAGCTGAAGCCGAACAGTGTTTGACCTTGAACATGGGATGACAGGCAGCTGTGTCTGCACCGGGGCCAAGCGCTGCAGTGTGCCTCCCCATTGCCTTTTGTTGCATTGCCAGGAGCAGGTTTTTCCACTGGGCAGCACTAAACAATGCTGACTAGTTTCAGAAGGGAAGGATGATGATGTTCAGTGCTGCTTTTGCTCCCTGTCATGTTTGCTCAGCTTTCCCCACGTGCCTCTTTCTGCTCGACAGGAGGTGAAAGTCTCCAGCCCCGATTACCCCGAAAGAAACAGGGAAAATGTGATGGATGACTTCCTGAAGAGAATCGAGTGCTACAAGGTCACGTACCAACCCCTTGATCCCGATGAGTACGACAAGTAAGCAGCGAGCCCGGGCTGTGCTCTGTCCCTGAGCTGCTTTGCTTTGCTGCTTTGTGTTCTGTGCCCAAAGACTTGCAATGCTTGTGCTGAAGCACTCCCGAAGCTGAGATTTGCTCGTGCGAAGGCGATGCCCTCGGGTTGCAGTGGATTTGAATGTGATGCTCCCTGTGCAAGCACGGTGTGTCCTGTGTCCCCGCAGTGGCGCTGATGCCTTTAACTCAGGGCACAGAGCTGGGGGACGCCTGCACGTGTGTCAGTTGTCAAACCCGGCGTGTGGGTGTTCTTATTTTATGTTGACTCCAGAGATCTTTCCTTCATTAAAGTGATCAATGTGGGACAGCGGTTCCTAGTGAACAGAGTCCAAGATTACATCCAGAGCAAAATCGTCTATTACCTAATGAACATCCACGTGCAGCCACGCACCATCTACCTCTGCCGGCACGGCGAGAGCGAGTACAACCTCCTTGGCAAGATTGGAGGGGACTCTGGGCTGTCACCACGCGGCAAGCAGGTGTGGGTCTGCAGCACCCAGATGGCTGCACTGCAAAGGAGGTGTGGGGGGGCAGCTGCCCTGTGCAGCTCCTGAGCTCCTCTGCCCTCTCTCAGTTTGCACAGGCGCTGAAGAAGTTCATTGAGGAGCAGGAGATTGTGGAGCTGAAGGTGTGGACCAGCCAGCTGAAGCGCACCATCCAGACAGCTGAGTCACTGGGGGTCACCTATGAACAGTGGAAGATCCTCAATGAGATTGATGCTGTGAGTGGGGCACGGTGAAGCCTTCTGCTTTTCTAGGTGGAAAATAATTAAATTGGGCATAAAAGTGTTTCCCGACCATCGCTCAAGTTTTCCTGCCATGGCTGTGCATAACGCCCTCCACCCCTATCAGGAGGTTTGGGGTCACTCACTAGGGCTGAAAGCACCTGGAACAGTTAGAGCTTTGCACAGCAGCAGACCTTGCACTCCAGCTGGTGTTGGGAGGAGTGACATTGAGCATCCCACGCCCTCGTGGGGTGTATGCAGTGCCTTGCTGCTGGGCGAAGGTTGGCACTCTCACTCTGTTTTTGAGGGCAAAAGAAATGCTGGTGTTGTGCTCGTATTTGTGTACTGAATTGCTGTACACCTCCTGAAGTGATGCTGCACGGAGTTGTGCTTCCTGCAGGGGGTGTGTGAAGAGATGACATATGCAGAGATCGAAGCCAAATACCCTGATGAGTTTGCCTTGAGGGATCAGGAGAAATACCTCTATCGCTATCCTGGAGGAGAGGTGAGAGCACTTAAGAGAAGCAGAGTGCTGCAGTATGCATTGGGCAATGTGTGATGAGTGAAATGGAGGGACGTTGCTTGGTTTCAGCTCTCTGTCCCCAGTATTTCCATGAGAAATCAAAAGCCCTAGTGAACCCAGCTCTCTTAGAGGAAAGGAGTGCTGCTTGCTGTTCCAGCAGTGTGTGAAGCAGGTTCATTGTGCTGCTCTCAGTTGGCTGAAGCTGAGTTGTCCCTGTGGAAAATCACCCTGGGAGAGAGAAATGGCTGTGGGTGGGGATGGAGTCACTTCTGGTTTTACTTTACAGCCATATTTAAATGTGTAATTTAGTGGTTTATTTTCTTTTCAAACTGCACTTGCTAAGAGTTATTACTAACCTGAACTTCCTGTAATCTGAGGGTTGCTGCCATCCAATTTCCCCCAGAGCTGTTTCCTTATTTTCCCCTCTATTTACTCCATCACTTCTGCAGTTTGATGCTTTAACCGATACTTTCCTGAAGGTGAAGCTGCGTTAATTGCTACTTCTGCTCCAAGTCTGTTTATAAAACCCCTTACAAAAATTCCTGTTTTGTTTTGCAGTCCTACCAGGACTTGGTTCAGCGCCTGGAGCCCGTAATTATGGAGCTGGAGCGGCAGGGCAACGTCCTTGTCATCTCCCACCAGGCAGTGATGAGGTGCCTCCTGGCTTACTTTCTGGATAAGAGTGCAGGTACAAAAATAAATGCATGCTGGTGGGGGCTGGCTTCTATTCTTGCTCTTTTTCGGGGTTTTTGGGTGGGTGTCTGGTAATTGCTGTTTTGATTTTTCTTGACAGTGGAGGAACTGCTTTAAAAAAGAAAAAAAAAAAAAAACCATACCCAAAAAAACACAAAACACCCATT